AGTGGTTCTCCAATCCCGCCTTCCTGGACTCCATCTCTCAACTGGCCGGCTTTGTCATGAACGCCAATGAGTGTGTCGATCTTGACAAGGAGCTCTTCGTCAACCACGGATGGGAGTCGATGAATCTATTTACACCCAAACTTGATGCTAACATGACTTATCACTCGTACGTCAAGATGACTGAGGGCAAGGACAAGCTGTGGTCCGGAGACGTGATCATCTTCGATCAGGAACAGAACCTCGTTGGCATCCTTGGCGGTGTCGCTCTGCAAGGCGTCCCGAAGCGCCTCATGGACTACATTATCAACTCGGCCATGAAAAAGGTCTCCGGTGGCTCCTCGTCGGCAAAGGCTCAGCCACAACCACAACAGCCCCAGGCGATTGTTACTTCAGACATGAAGGCAACTTTCGGAGACATCTCTCTGACTGAGGCTCAAGCTGCTCCTGCTCAGCAGCCAGCCGCTGAAGACTCTTGGCCCGTGGCACTCAAAGTCTTGGCTGAAGAGAGTGGTCTCGACGAGAAGGAGCTTGCCGATGATGTCGCCCTCGCTGACATTGGTATCGACTCACTACTCTCGCTTGTCATATGTGGCAGACTGCTCGATGAGCTTGATGTCGACCTGCCTGAGCGCGCACTGTTTGAGGAGTGTCTGACTGTGGGCGACATCCGGATGCGTGTTTCTGGTACCGCAGTACCTTCGACTGAATCTTCTGGACAAGAGAGCGACATCACGAGCGTTGAATCTGACACCGCGTCATCCGTCGGCTCCCCAGATCTTTACAACTTGGCATCGCCTTTCTCGGCTGCCATGACGCCAATCAATGGGTTTGAGACGCCCGGTTCGTACTTCGAGGTCATCGACATGAGCGCCGGAGACTTTAAGGGCAAAGCTGTTCCGTCGACTCCCGTTGTTCCTACAATTCCACCGGCATGGTCGATGTACCTTCAGGGCTCTAGGACGAAAGCCAAAGAGACTCTCTTTCTCTTTCCGGATGGTTGTGGAGTTGCCACTTCATACTTGAGTCTTCCTACTATCTCGCCGACTACAGCCCTCGTTGGCTTCAATTCTCCTTTTGCAAAGTAAGCAGCAATGCACTCTTTCCTATTACTTTGATTCAATACTAACAAGTTTTCCTTCTAGGACTCCCAGCCGCATGTACGATCACACTCTCCGCGAAGTCCTACAATCTTACATTGCCGGCCTCCGTCAGAAGCAAGCACGCGGTCCCTACCGCCTAGGCGGCTGGTCAGCCGGCGGCATCCTCGCCTACGCGGTGACTCAAGAACTCATCGCCGCCGGCGAGGAAGTCACTTCCCTTACCCTCATCGACTCTCCGCCTCCCAACAATGGCCTAGACCACCTGCCCGACAGGTTCTACGACCACTGCAACAAGGTTGGCATCTTCCGCAACGAGATGCGTCGCGGCGCGGAGCAGTCGGAGCCGCCCGAATGGCTTATGCCGCACTTCCGCGCCTCAACTGAGCTCCTACACGACTATCACGCGCCTGCCATGTCACCTGAAGCCGCATGGAAGTTGCATGTCAATATCATTTGGGCTGGCGAGTGCGCTTTCGATGGGGTGCGCTACCCGACTTTGCCTCCTGCCATGATGGAAGGCGAAGACTGCGAGGGGATGAAGTTCCTCACTGAGAAGAGGAAGAACTTTGGGCCTGGGGAGTGGGCTTTGCTATTCCCCGGTGCTTCGATTGCGACTACGGTCATTGAGGGGGAGCATCACTTCAGCATGATGCGTGGTAGCGGTGCAGACAGATTGGTTGAGTCTATCAGACGGGGCCTCTAACTTTTCCTCGAATAGACTCTCGTTCTTTACTATAGTGTTTCCTCCGGCGTTCAGGACGGTGGATCTTTGATCAGGAGCGGCGTGCGGCTGGCATTCGCGAGGCAACTTTGAATTAGCAGAATCGTCGATTTGATATATGATCGATCACATCACAGGCTTGGACTTTCTTTTGTAGAGCATCAGACTTTTCTGTAACTACAGTCTGGAATTTGTTCTTCCTTTTCAAATTAGCCTTCGATCTAGAAATCCAAAGGTTCACACCATTGTCTCTGGTATTGAATCTCTGTTTGTAACGGTGTCGCGATCGATTTTCGACGTCCTATCTAGGATAACAACACACCTCAAGGTAAAATCAACTCTGTCGGCCTGCGACTCTAATCGATCAGCGATCTGTTCTTTTTTTTTAACATGACGATCATGCGAACGTAGATTGATGCATTCGTTATCGACTGTCATTAACTTCTCAGTCTTAATTATGAAAGTAAGAATGGCACACTCGCTACTCTCAAACATCACCGTGGGGAGGCTAGTTCACGACGCTAAGTGACAGCAACTCTATCCCAATTAAGACCTGGGAATACTCGAATGCACAGAGTTTCAGAACGCGACAGCACAGATGGCAATGCTTACTTTCGGGTCTTCAATCCGAATTCGGACTCACCTCGGGCTTTCGCGATGCCGAATTGTGATTGTGTCCATAGATCATAATGAACCTTCAAGCCTTTCTGAGGTGGCGGGAGTAGGACCAATCCGAGTACGATCAATACGATACAGGTTAGTGGGAATGTGGCTAGAAGTATGAATTGAACTATAAATCGTTGATTATTAGCACACCACTCAACCCCATTCTAATCACACCGACTCAGTCACTATTTGAGCCATAATAGCGAAAGTGGGAGTTCGCTCGACTTTACTCAGTTCAGGTAGTAGCTAGATATGCATGCACAACTTCTTCCAACCTCGATGCCCATCGCATCCTCAGGACATGTAATAAGATGAAAGGAAAGAAATGTAATTGAGAAACTCTACACTTTCTCCAAGTCTAATTAGAGATGTGCAGTCCTTAGTCGCCGTCATTACTTGAGATCAGACCTGACTTGTCCGGTGCTCGGCACCGGCAGCTTGAACCCACCAGGGACTTGCTTCTGGAAGACCTGACGCGGATCATACTTCTCGCTCGTTGCAAGAAGCTCTTGCAGAGTACTCTTACTCCGTCGCTCAATGGGATTTTGCCAGCTCTCGGCGTATGTTGCCTGGAGATAGCTCCTGTGTAGCCCCATTTTCTTCGCCTTGGTCTCAGCATCGCCCACCAGCTTCTGTACCGTCTTCTCCACAACTTCATCACTGTCTTTCTCGTTCTCATCGACAGAGACGCCCAAGTGGATGTAGACGAGATTCCCCTGGGTCTGCACCGGGCCCAGAGAGTCGATGGCGCCGTTGCGTTCCGACATGACGCTGGGAACGGGCTGGTATGCCATGGCGACCGCGAAACCGTCGAGGTCGAGAAGGGGGGTGAAAGCCGCGTCGGCGAGCTGGAAGAACTCTTCCATCATGTCCGCCGAGGGCGCGAAGCTGACGGTTGCAAATATCCAGCGCTTCGGGTAGGTTGCCAGCGCAGCATACTCGCGCGAGATGGAGGTAACGTTGTCGACACGGATGGTGTTGGAGGGACCACCAGGAAAAAGAGCCTTCTGTTCAATGGCAAGGAGGGGCTTAAAGACTTCTGGCTCGATGATGGGCGGGTCGCTCTTTGTGTACTGGAGGCTGTTGCCGATGAACCAGCTTCGCGTGGCGTTGCTGAGGACTAGGTTGTTGATGTAGTGCACGTAAGGGTCGTAGGGGTGCATGGAGGCGAGGATCTCGTGGGCCTTGAAGTGTTCTTTGCGCGTGGAGATATCATGGAAAGTCTGGCCGCCCCAGAACTTGCCTTGCGGAAAGGTCTTCATGGTGATGGCAGTAACGACGCCAAAGTTGTTACCGCCGCCGCGGAGGGCCTTCCATAGATCGGGGTGCTGGTTCGCGCTGGCGTGAACAATGTCGCCATTAGCGAGGACTACTTCAAACTCCTCAACCACGTCGCAGATGAAGCCGTAGCGGGGGGAGAAGAAGGAGGTTCCGCAGTTGAGGACGGCGCCGCCCACGCCTACACCCGCGACGCGGGCCCCGAGGGTGCTCAGGTCAAAGGGGTCGAGCTGCTCCGTGACATGGTCCCAGGTTTGGCTGGGGCTCACGGTGATTGTTTTGTGGTCCGCGGAGATACCGGCGGCGGGGATTTTCTTGAGGTCAATGACGATGCCGTTTTCCATGTTGGCGGCGCCCTTGAAGGGAGTGTGGCCGCCACCACGAATAGCAAACTGGCATTTGCCGTCAAAGACTTCAGCCCCGGCTGTGAGTGTGCGGACCGCGAGTGATACGTCGTGGGCTGACTCGGGCATGACTACGCATGCCGGCTTCAGGTCGGCTTCTTTGAGACTGAAGTATGAGCCGATGGAAGACTTGTAAGCTGCGCCATTGGGGAAGGCAACGATGTTGCCCATGGATTTAGCAAGAGCCTCGCACTGTTGGGACAACCAAATCAGTATTATACCTTGCATCGGGGAAAATAAGAGAAAGGCCACTTACACAAGTCGAAGATGAAGCTACGGCTCCGTGAACATTACTTCCCGGGTTGACAATGCTACCACTCAGAGGGGATTGCACAGAGTCACCATAGAAAGACGACAGGCCTGGCAGGCCGAATAGAATCTGTTGGAGACCTGCACCAAACATGCTTGCTAACTCACGAAAATGATCTGGCTATACTGTCAAATGCTGCAATTGACGATGGCAAGGAGAATCATAAGGCGTATTGATCGCGAGGGGAGCTGCGAATTTCATAGCAGTCACAGATCGGGCAATTAATGACTCGGCTTTATCCCTCTCAACGACTCGCCGAGCTTAGTTTGTTTCCCGCCTATTCTAAAGTTGCCTTTTCGGGACAACGGGAAATGGACATACGGTGACTGACGCTCCTGTTCCCGGCCGTGTCCCCGTTCCCCGGCCGGGCCCAAGCTCCTCTGTTGCATCACCGCTGTCGCTCATAAAGTACAAGGAGACGGCATTCATGACATTGATAACTCCTGGAGCTGAAGATCACGAAAAAAACAGAAAAAAACATAGACTGGGAGAAGTGTGAATAGATCTTGAATATCACAACAATGCCCGGCCGTACTACTGATACGCCCATCCGCAAGGTCGCACTAGCCGGCGTAAGTATCTTGTCTTTCACCTGTATCCCAGCGAAAACCAACTGACAAAAACCACAGAAAGGTTACGTAGGCGAAAAGATTTACGATGAACTGGTCAAATCCGAATATGATGTTACTATTCTATCACGATCTAACCCGGAAAACGCGCCAAACGTCCGCGTCGTCGACTATGCCTCCACAAAAAGTCTCACAGAGGCCCTCCGCGGCCAGGACGCAGTCATCTCCGCCATCAACCCCGCAGGATGGCCGCACCAGTACAAATTGATTGACGCCGCCGTTGAAGCTGGCTCGGTGAAGCACTTCATCCCCAGCGACTTTACTTCTCTATCGACAAACCCTGCCGTCGCCGAGTATCCTTATTACAAGGACGCCGTGGCGATCCAGGCGTACCTGAAGAAGAGGGCGGACGAGAGCGGAATGAAGTGGACCATTATCGCCACGGGCCCTCTTCTAGGCTGTGTGCTGAATGGGAACTACATGTACAATTACCAAGAGCAGACCGCTCTGCAGGTCAGCGACGTAACGCATCGTGTCAGCGTGACGCGGAGACCGACGCTCGCAAAGGCTGTCTCGGGCATCTTTGCCAGGTCTCAGGATATGGAGAGCGGCGCATTCTTCATTCAGGACTATACTACATCGCAAAAGGAGATGCTGGATATCGCCGAGAGACTTTCTGGCAAGGCATGGCCTGTTCAACACGTTGACGGCGAGGAGAAGCTCAAGGATGGGCTAGCTATGTTCAGGAGGGCGGATGCAGAAGGGACTACGCCGCCGATTTTTGCTACGTTTCTTGTGATCCACAATACCATCTTTGGCGGAAAGTACAATACTGCTTGGGATGGTAAGGGTAACAAGTTCCTCGAGTTACCTGTCATGTCAAAGGAGGAGTTTGAGGAGCTGATTGCGACGAGAGTCCGGAATGAGCCTATTGATGGTGGGCTGCCCTGGAACTCGGCCCCGAAACCTCGGAATGCGGCCTAGAATGACCGCTGGCAAATGTTTGTTATGTAGCGCTAAGACAACGAATCGAAGGATCAATTCAGAGTCAGTAACTCCTAAGACTGCATTTTTCGTTGTGATAAGATGTTCAAAGCCATTCAGACATAATTGGACTTCGATGCATATGGGAAAACACGTGTTCAGCTACGACAAGTAGCTCTAGGCGCCAAATCGAAAATTCGAGCCTTTCAAAGCGAATTGGGGGAACTGTAAAAGTACCTAGCTCAATTACCTGATAGCCTGCTGTTGATATCGCACTAACTGATACTTTGTCCTCGTTCGCATGAAGAAGACATGTATGGAGTAATAACAATCTAGAAAGCTGCATACTCAAACGACCAAGGAAAGAAAGAAAGAAGAAACACACAACAGCGTGCGAAATCTTTGATAGATGCTACTTCAATTCCAAAGAAGGCGGCTGGAAGCCATTCCACTCCAGATAGTTGGTCGGCACTTGAGGAAACTCATCAATACCGTCCAGCATGACTACACCCATACCGCCAGCGTGATGAGTCTGCACATGACAGTGCAAAAGCCAAGCACCGGGACTTTCCACCTTGTACCTCACCACAGTCCACACAGCAGGCGCGTCGCCCGCGATATCAGGCGTCGTGAAGGTGTCCTGATACGACGGGTCCTCGAAATTGAGGGCCCCGGCCGGCAGAGCCCGCTCCGCTTCCTCGACCGTAGCCCAGGGAAACTTCCCGACCCCGGAGCCGAGGAAGTAGAGCTTGTTGCCGTGCTTGTGGACGGGATGGCTCTGCGCAAAGGGACCTTCAGTCTCTAGGATGATATCGATCCACTCCCCGACCTGGGTTCGGAGGATGAGCTCGCTCTTTGGAACCTCGCTGGGCTGTCTAAAGAGAAAAGGAGGATCTTGTTTCTCGGCTGTGATGTTGTAGACTTCGTGGCCCGACAGACTCCATTCGTATGCTCCGTAAGGGCGGCCTGGTTTCCTCAGGCACAGTTTGAATGTGCGATCCGCGCTGCGAGCCGGCCGTTGTGACGGAAATGGGCGACCCTCTTCGGGCTTGAATGAGCGAATATCGTTAATGAGAGGCTGTCCAGCGTAGTTCATTTTCGGCTGGAGATTTCTTGGTTGATTTGTTGCCCCATCGTATGCTAATTCGGCAAAGCCTCCAAGGATCTGGTTGAGAAGGTCATTGGACATGCGGATCATGTATCGAGCTGGTTCCTGGTCTAGTTTGATCAGGACCGAGATTCGATTGCCATTGCCAACGTAAACACGGTCAGTGACAATAGGCTTGATGTACTGTCCATCGACAGCATAGACATTTAAATCGTGGTTGTCGATAGAAACCTGCAGAGGATATAACCCGCCAACGTTCATAAACGTGAGGGCCGCCCAGCCTTCCTTACTGTCGACATTGGCGGTGAAGTTTCCCTTGGGATTCCTGCCACCTACGCATTTTCGGATTGACTCGGCGGGCAGCTTGCCCAGGTGCACATCGTAGTCACCTTGGAGGGCTTGGATCGGAGGTACACAACCTTTTGCCGTCATATGGTCCTCGCCAAGACCCTGTAGCATCTTGAGAATGATGGGGTTCGTCATGCTGTCCAAAGATTCCGGATCCAGACAATACTGCGATCCGATCCCATTGACAATAATGGCATCTGTGCAGGCGAGATCGAAGTTGGCAATCTCCTCGATGTGGTAAAAATCGTCGAACTTGTACTGACTCCAGTCAGCGAGGAGCAGCGGCTGCATGTTCTGTTCAGCTCTCCGCATCGCCTGTCGTGCCTTCAGGTCCCCGTGGATAAGGTGAAAAGGCCTGTCAGCTTCTGCTAGTGCGTCGATAATGACTGCACCGTAGAGACCATCCATGAGTTGGCCCTTTGAGTGAGCATGGTAGAAGAACGCCCCTGGCTGCTCTGCGGTCCACTGGTAGCGGTACGAGGCACCGGGATGGATTTGGCCTTGAGTGAGTCCCGGCACGCCATCGCTCCAGGGCGTCTTGCGTTGTTCGATGCCGTGAAAGTGGATAGTTGTGTCTTCCTGGAGATAGTTGCGGACTATGATCTCAACCTCATCACCTTGCTTGATGTGTAGAGTAGGGCCGGTGAAACTGTTGTTCACGAGAATGGCATCTCGTGGACCAGCACCAAGAGCGTCTACTTGGCCTGCTGTAAGATGGAGCTCGAAGCGCACAGTGCGTTGTATAGACTGCTGGATGTTGGATGTGCCAGCGTCCAGCGACGTTGCCGATGACCAGCTGGATAATGGCCAGGGTAGAATGTAGGACAGGATGTGAACGGGGTGCATTGTGATGCTCCAGAGAATCGGTTGACTTATTGGAACATAAGACGAGTGTATAGTGTAGACGATCACGTAGAATGATAGAGGATGAAGCTGAGGAAGCTGGTGTAAGTCAAAGTCAAAGGGATGAGAGAGTGAAGCTTGGCCAACGGCATCCCACAGGGGAAGCACATGCGTTGGATACGCTGAAACTTGCCGAACACATGCTACGAAAGGGACCCAACGGGAAATAAAGACCGGTCGGTGCTGAGTCGAGTGACATAACCCCGAACCTCCCCACGACCATCACATCATTTCAGACAACCCTCCAACAAACATACGCTCGTTGTTAGCAGCAGGAGGCTTGTGTCTTTTTTGTATCATATCTACATTTTTCGTTCTTCTTCCCCTGGCCTACCCCAAGAAATGCGTCTGCGATTCATGGTCCCTGCAGCAGTGCTGCTGGGCAGTGTATCAGCCAAAACAATGAGCCAGGCTCTTGTCGACCATGGATCACTCTCGATGCTTCACAGTCTCCTGAAAGACCTGAGTCTATTGGAAAGGTTCGAAACGGCGGAAAGGTCGACGTTTCTGGCAATGACGGATGATGCCCTCGTGGGTCTCGCGAACTGGGGACTGAATATGAGCACCATCGACCCAACGCTTGCCCGAGCCATTCTTGAGTACCACTTTCTCGAGGGAGTCTTCACATCGTCAGACCCTTTACTGAAGGCAGACGTCCAACTCGCCCACTCAGTCTTGCGCCCACCGGTTTTGACAAACGTCACAGATGGTCCAGTGGTGAAGCTCTCCATCATCGACGAATCATTGTGCGCCGAATCTGGCATCCAAAAGGTCATACACATCAACGAGTCTGACATTGCCCACGACAACGGCGTTATACATACCATAGACAGTAACCTCGTTTTGCCGCATAATATCTCGGAGACCACCAACCTGGACAACTTCCACAAGTTCTGGGATATCATTGAGAGGTCAAGAACCAGGGAAGTTCTAGAGGCTATGAAGGACGTGACTGTCTTTTTGCCAGATGACAACGCAGCAAGACAGTGGAGCTCTGCGCTAGAGTCTCTTACTCCGGAACAGCTGGCAACAGTAGTCGAAAATCATGTTGTTCCCAACCGGGTTCTCTATCACAGCGCCTTCTCCGCTGAGGGAAATGAGTACATGACCTTGGGTGGGTTGAAAATTACTGTCAGACATGATTCTAGAGGCAATGTCTTCGTCAACGAAGCAAAGATACTCAAACAAGATGTACTCATTTTCGGTGGCGTCGCTCACATCCTGGACGGGATACTGGTCCCTTTGGGACACAGAGGTAAGTCTATCATTTCCAAAATTGCACAAGTCAAGCTGTTCGAGCTTTGGGATCTAACTCATTTCTACAGATTCCACTTGCCAATCGTTATTCGGTAAGATTCGGACCTACACGGGGTTGCGTTCGACTTCATGGAAGGTCATGGCAAAGACTTTTATTGTTACCACAAGTGCCTTCTCTCTGGCGGTCCTTGCATTCCTCACGGTTAGGAACCGAAGGAGCAAGAGACAGACTATGTCGTTGGCTTGGTCAACAACGAGCTGGGAGAAACATTTACGAGGCATCACCAATGAGAAAGGTCATGAAGGGAGCTTCTAGGTCAACGAATTGCAATTTGAAGTAGACGGATTTCTTAACTCTTAACGATTTTGCTTTGGATGACGTTCGATGATCATTCGCCTTCCTCGGGTCACTAGATTCCGTTCTTGTTGTGGATCTTCCAGTGTTATTACCTCACTACCGCACCTAAAATACAACAACATAGCCATAGTTGCTTCAGTAAACGCCCTTTGCTGCTAATTGATCTCCAAGTCTTCGGTGGTTGTAGCCGCTAAATTCACTCACTGTTTTACAGCCCGTAAAAAGGTACATATTCAGGGGGGGTTTAGCGTCATCATAGGCCTAAACCCTTTTGGCAGGGCCGGAAAGTGATGGAATCCCTGACGTTACCGTTACGCTTTGTCGATGTATGGCCCGACAGTGACTAGGTTTCGGGGATGGTTTGCCGAACCCAACACCGCCAACACTCTCGGGGAACTCAGCATATCCATACCTATACTGCTTCGTACTGTTGACCGGTGTTTCCTACTCGCTTTCAAATGGCTTTCTTTTCGTTTGTGCAAAACGTGGGAACGGTGCTATGGTCTAATCATAGGTCCCGTTCTAGTGATACGGTAGAACTAGTCCGCCTTCTTAGGCACCGCATTCCTGAGATCAACCGGTAAGCATCCTCATTTGAAGTACAGGAAAGACCAGGATATCTATGCAAAGACTCGGGCGGTGAATCTTTGGAACATACCGGGATTAAAGCCCACCCCTGTTAATTGCAAGTTACCGCTTCAACGGCAACTATTGTGCGAGGTGTAAGACGGCGGACGGGTTTCCAGCGGCCGGGCTGTTCATCTACAATCCGACCGACGGTTGCCGTATCCCCCGCGGAGGGCCCCTGCAACTAGGTAGAGCAGCATTAGGCCCTCTATCTCTCTAGGTTGAGATCACTATCATATCCCCCAAGCCCTCCATTCAAGAACAGCTGGAATGACTTGGGCCACAGTTCGCTAGTCGTGACCTTGAGTAGGAATCTAACCGACCCTATTTTCGTTCACCATTCTCTCTTCGAAGTCAATCTCTTTACTCTTCGCTTCTGTTAGTACATTTAATCTTTGTTCCATTCAATCCGACGCAAGGTGCACATCCACTATGGCGCCTCCAGCAGACGCAAGCCCAGCAGGTACATACGCAGATGAGCCACTGTCCCTTGACGAGCAAGTCATCGCCAAGATCCAGGGCGGTGACTTCATCGTCGACTGGCTCGGCCCAGACGACAAGGGCTGCCCGCAGAACCTGCCCACGCCCCGGAAATGGCTTATCACGCTAGTACTGGCTCTGTACGTTCTATCGACGACCTTCTCGTCGTCCGTGTTCAGCGCCGCTGCCGGCGTGACGGCCGCGGAGTATAACACCACGGTGCAGAATATGGTCTTTGGTGGTACTTCGCTCTTCATGCTTGGGTTTGCCGTTGGTCCCATCGTCTTTGGGTATGATGTCCTTTTCCCCTGCGGGCCTTTGCAACGGTCTGAGAACGTACATGAGCTAACGACTTACACCTACCTGTCAGGCCTCTTTCAGAACGTTATGGGAGAAAGCGCCCCCTGATGGTCGGCTACGTAACATTCGCCCTGCTCCAGCTCCCGGCAGCCAGCGCCCAAAGCCTATGCACAATCTTCGTCTTCCGCTTCCTGCAGGGCATCTTTGGCGCCGCGCCGTCCGCCATTCTCAGCGGCACGCTCGCCGACATTTGGACCCCAAAGCAGCGGGGCTTCGCCATGCCCTGTACGGGCACCTTCCTCATGATCGGGCCCGTCCTCGGCCCCATGATCGGCTCCATTATCGTCAAGAGTCCCCTGCTGGGCTGGCGCTGGATCTTCAACGTTACGGCTATCTTCACGCTGTCAGTTGCTGTTGTCACGTACCCAGCTTTAACTGAGACGTATTCCCCCATTCTTCTAGAGAGACGAGCAAAGCGGATGCGTCATATGACACGTAACTGGGCTCTACGGGCGAAGTCTGAAGAGCAGGAGAGCAGTCTCAATGATATTGTCGAGAAGTGTCTTTCACGTCCGGCAAAGATGCTGTTTTTGGAGCCTATTCTCTTGTTGATGTCTACTTACATCTCTGTGGTTTTCGGTATGTCTATTCACTTGAAAACACTTGCGGTCAAACTTTCACTGACGAGATTCCAGGGCTCATGTACATCTTCTTCCTAGCCTATCCAATGTCCTTTGAACGCGAGCGCCACTGGAACTCCACTTCAGCCGGCCTCCCGCTCCTCTCCATCTTGCTGGGCACGATCCTCGGCGGCGCCCTCATCATAGCGACCGTCAACACCAAGCTATCACCGGACCCCAAAGCCGGCCGCCCCCAGGAGAACAGGCTCTTGCTGATGATGATTGGGACAGTCTGCCTGCCGGTCGGCATGTTCTGGTTCGCAGCGACGAGTTCACCGTCAACGGACCCCTGGCCGCAGATCGTTGCGGGCGTTCCTATCGGCATTGGTATTATCTTGATCAATATGCAGGGGATGAATTACATTGTCGACTGCTACGGGATCAACTCTAACTCGGCGATCGCCGCCAACACATTCATGCGATCGCTCTTCGCATCTGGATTCCCGGTTTTTGCGTAAGCCTTCCACCCTCCACTCGGGTTTTTCCCTGGCGTATTGCTGCGCTCTTTGCTGACCTGTCTTCAAAGCACTTCTATGTACACTTCCATCGGCGTCGCTCGTGCAACCTCGCTGCTGGCTCTGTTTGGCGTGGTTCTGGCACCCATCCCATTCCTCTTCTATCACTACGGGGACAAGATCCGAGCTCGCAGCAAGTGGTCGCCTTCATACGGACGATGAGACTTGGAGACCGTGAATACGTTTCTCAAGCTGGAAACTGCTAGATCTTTACTGAGCAAGCCGATGGTGGTTATAGTGGTTATGGTAGTTTAAAGATTGGTCCTGTTCGAGGTGCTGCTTGCGGAACGCCTATAAGCGAAGCTTTCGTTGAGGAAAATCATGTTGAAAAGAAAGGCAGCATAGACGTATTAACCAGTCTTCGTTCTTGTATTAAATTCTCCCCATATTTTAAAGGACCTTCTTGGTGATCTCAAATGCCATGGTGAAAGTTCGTGTATGCATCGATTGATTTTTTCCCTACTTTCATACTCACTCTTCTCAAAACTTGTACCATATTTAGCTCCGAGAATAACAACTGCACTTGAAGTAGAAGACTTCCACATCTTCATAAGTATGAGAAGAGGTTCGACAGTTGAACTACTGTTTTCTACGTATTCCGCACATAGACCAGCATGGACAAGACGAAAGTCATGGACGAAGGAAATTGAAGGATCACATGTTCTGATAGAAACTTGCATTCGCCTAGTCAAACTCAATCATATGCTACAATCTACTTTGATCTCTGCACGGTACAGATCGTTCCCTTGGACCATTACTCGCAGCTCTGGTCTTCCCAGAAAAGGAAGAATCTAGTCTCGATGCTCCGCCTCGCAGGGCCGATATCATCAGGGGTAGGGAAAGCGCTGTGCGGAGTGCGTCTAGCCCTGCCATCCTTCTTAGAGTCAAAGATCTTGATGAGAATAACATCGTCCCTCGTCATACCGCCCCGGAACCACCACTTGTGCTGATCGGGTGTCTCGGGCGGCGCAATCTGCCACATGTGGTTCTCGGTAGGCTTGTGAGGCCAACGGAAGGGCACGCAATGCATGGTATCGTGGAGCTCGTCGTCGCGAACAGACCTAGCATCGCATAGGGCCAAAGGCTCGCGGTGGACCTCGTCCATGGGTCTCCAGAGGTTGACGATGGCCCAGCGGTGCTTGCCGTCGTGCTTGGCGCCTTCTCCAGGAGGGAGGTCGTCATAGAGGCGGCGCTTGGCACCGAGGTCGGACTGGTCGATGTGGACGAAGCGGGCGGAGAGCAGGCCGCCGTCTGTCATAGCCATGTCTGGTTTGTCTTTATCCTCTTCGGGGTCGGCGCTCTCCCATTGGCGCTGGCGGATGATGTGGGAGATGACGCGGACGTCACTTGCCCCGGTCCTGGTTTTTGGGTCAGTTAAAATTGCCAGTTATCTCTCTCTGAGGGGCACTTACAGCTTTTTCATAAACTCCTCACACTCAGCGTTGTAGATCTTGTTGAGCTTCTCGTCAATGGGACTCCACGGGAAGTCTTTATAAGAAGTAGGGAAGTGCTCGAATTGGAAGCCAGTCTTATCAAGGCTGAACTCGGATTCCTTGCCACGAGCGTTATAGATCTTGACAGGTCGCGGGTCATACTTGCGGCGCATCTGAGCAAATGTGCCACCCCAGATCATTTCGTCGCCGCCCTTGGTGGGGCAGAGACGATAATTGAGGGTTGCATCGTAAGACTCCTTGTTCAAGTTGTAGACACCAACGAGCTTTGCGCGCTCCTCGCTGTCTTTTTCCGCGAGCTCAGTCGCGGTGTACTCGATCTTGTCTCCAGAGACTTTGAGCTTTCTCTTGACCTCGGTGTCAAGGAAGGCAAGCTCGTCCTTTGTGGCGTAGTTTAGTTCAAGAGTAGGCATGATGGGCAAGGTATTATTTGTGTAGACTAATGAGCTTTATTGACGAAGTGACGCGGATTTCCGATGAACGCCTGCACAAGCCGACCTTTAATATCCAAATATCTAACAGTTTGCGGTGCTTCGGAGGTAGCAGTAGGCCTTCCGATGCTTCTACTAATTACGGTCTTCGTGTCGCCGGCGCAGCAAGTGCCGAACTGTGTTCCCTGGTTCATGCGGTGATTGAGTTCCCGGTCGGTGTGCACAGGGCCTGGGTTTCGATGGAAGGTGTTGCCGGTGGATACAAGCAAGTACCCCTACGATCCCGTAGTCTTGCAATTGCACTTCTGGGCCAGATCCGGGTATATCAAGGATGAGACGAAGATCGCGATGCAAAAGGAGCTCACTTAGCTGCCTCTTAAACTTATCCGAAGTGCATAAAATTGTTTGTTCCGAGGACATGGGGTGGTTAGATAGCAGTGGGTAACTTTACTGAACCCGCCCAAAGCTACGAAT